GAGCTGGCCTGACATTTCACATGCTTGATCATTTTGCCAAAGGTGTGTGTGATGCGGATGGTGGTCAGCCTTCTCCATTAGCGATGCAGCGAGAGGCAGCAGGGCCCGTGGTCAGGGTAAGTGGGCTGAGCACCGTGCCGGCTCCCGGTGAGGAGAGCCAGGGTGGATCAGCCCCTCCCACTTCTCATGCATCGCCAGCATTGACTGATGGCACACCCGCCCACCAGGCAGGTCCTTGCCTGCTCCGCTGCAATTTCCTCCGACACAGGGTGCCTGGGTGGAGGCTGTGGCCTGGGAACCTGGGTCCAATCATGATAACCAGGTGCAGATGCCCCCCGGGGGAATGCAGCCCAGACAGGCTTGGTGAGCCTGACAGAGGAGAGAAGGTGGCATCAAAGTTGGGTCTTCATGGAGAGCAAGTGCCAGGGTGCTGGGTGAGGGCTGGCTGTGGTCCCGGGTGATTCAGGGGGTCAGGGCAGGGCCTGGAGGAGACCCTCAAACCCACAGGCAGCAGTGTAGAGCGTGGGGTCAAACTTGCCAATCAGGAATGCTCCTTCCTTCCCTCAGTAAAGCACACCAGAGAGTGCAGGGGACACAGGCGGGTGGCTGGGAGTCAGGGTCACCAGCAAGTGCAAGTGGGAATTGTGGCCAAGTCGGTGCCCAGCTGGAGAAACGCCTAAGTGGACCCCACGGAGGAGGAAGGCGGTAGGGCTGAAGGGGAGATTCAGGTGCCCAAGGGCAGCTTGTGAAGGGCAGAACTCAGAGGAGGGTCAGGTGGAACGACCAGTGTGGGTGAGGGAGGTACAGTGGGCAGGGGCCTGGCCACCAAGGGTCGGTGAGCCAGGCTGAGCCATGCAGCCTTGTGCAGATGGCAGCGGGAAGGCCCTGAAGGGTTTTGTGGAGGAGGGAAGGTCATCCACGGAGGGAAAATGGGGCGGTCTCGAGGCTGCGCCAGCTGCCGAGGCCAACCCGCGCTTGGGGAACGAAGTTTCTGAGCTGCTGGAGGGACCCTGAGTTCCCGCTTCTGGTCCTCAACTCACCCCCCCCGTTTCCTCTTCCACCTCAACAGAAGGAAGAGGGGGCAGAAAAACCTGCCTGCCCAGGAAGCCTGCCTCAAGCGGAGCAGAGGTGCCTGTCCCGGGGGGCATCGCAGGGGCTGTGTGTGTGTCGTCTGTGTGTCACAGGCATCGGGCGGGCAGAGGCCAGGGGGGCTGGTGACATCCTGCAGTGCGCGGGACCAGCCCCCAGCAAAGAGCTAGTCGGCCCCAAATGTCAGCAGAGCCTGACCCGTCGAGGCATCCGGGGCGCCCATAGGCGGGGACACGGCAGGCCGGGTGACGGAGCGGGACCAGGAGGGGGTGAGGCTCCCGCCTGCAGACTCCGCCCCTGCAGGGGTTCAGAACCGTCCTGCGGAGACGCAGGAGGGGCCAGGGGCTGAGTGACCAGCGGGGGGCGGTCGGGGCAGGCTCCTCCCGGAGGACGTTTGGGGCACAGGCGGCAGACTGCCCGCAGTCCTGGAAGGAAGGACGTCCGAGGCAGCGGGGCAGACGGCAGAAGGGCCCGAGGAGGGGTGGGAGGCCTGGGGCAGGCGGCTTTGCTGTCACCCCCAGGGCGGCACTGGGGGCCTGGAGGGGAGGCGCAGGGGAGGGACTGGGCTTGCAAGGGCCCCACGGGGCAGTCTGAGCCTGCCCGTTGGGGGGGGGCTGGGAAGACAGCAGAGGAACGGATCGGGCAAATCCCTAGGGCGCTTCCCTCCCGCGCTCGCACCTGTGGGCAGCAGGCACCGGGGTGCGGACGGATGGCTTCCCCAACGCGCCTGGACACAAGAAGAGAGGCGGCAGCGCCTTCCGGCCGAGCCGGGTCCTCCAACAGCCCGGCCTCGACGACCAGAGAAGAGCCCAGGTGTGCAGGTGTGCGATGGCGCTGACCGGCCGGCGCCCGCCAGCTTGGGAGCCCGGGACACCCAGGAGGCACTCGCACACCAGGCCGTGGGCCCGGCCCCAGGAGGCGCGGGGTCTCCTGCGGGAGGGCGCAGCTGCGGGTGGGCAGGGTCTCCTTCGGGCGTCTGGCCACAGGAAGAAAAGGGTTTGTGATGCACGTGGAGCTGCCTCCGGACTCACACCTTTCGGGAGGCGCGGCGAGGGGCAGGTTTCCCAAGAAGGCGCGGCACCCGCGGTAGGAGCGGGTCCTAGGGCGGGGCGGGGCTTCCCTAGGGGTGGGCGCGGCTCACAGCACGGGGCGGAGTCTCCCCGGTCTAGGCCCGTCCGGAGGAGAGGGCGCGGTCCTGGGAGCGGAACGGAGCGGAGCTTCCTGAAGGGAGGGCGCGGTCCTGGGGGCGGAGCTTCCTGAGGGGAGGACGCGCTCCTGGGGAAGAGAGCGGAGCGGAGCTTCCTGAGGGGAGGGCGCGGTCCTGGGGGCGGG